TGAGGAACAACAGTTTGCTGATAACGCAAAGTTAGTCAAGAGAGTAAGGATTTAGGCAGGCTGCAAAAAATTGGAAAAGAACCTTGTAAGACTGACTGAGCAATGAATTGGTGAGTATAAATAACTGTAAAATGAGGTGCATGAGGGAAAAACATCCTAGCTTCATATACAGAACTATGGCTTGCAAAATGACTGTAACCATTCAAGAGAGAGATATAGTTACAAGCAGCTGCATGAAAACATCAATTCAGTGGTCAGGAGCAGAAAAAAAATAAAATAAAACTGAATGTGCGGGCTATTAGGAAAGTAATGGAGCGAAACAGAAGTCGTCACTGTACCAGCCATGTCTTGAATACTGTGAGTAGCTTGGTGACTGTGTATGGGAATGGGAAGGTCTCAGAGAAAGGAAACAGGATTATTATGCGTTGAATAGTGGCCGTAGTGGAAGGACCGAATTGGCTAGGACTTCTCAGTCTGGGAAGTAGCTGCGAGAGAGGGAACATGGCACTAGACTACAAAATTTCAAGTGGCTGGACAAGTCAGTTAGGGACTCATTCACATCTTATTCTCCTTTCAGAACCAGGGGACACCAAATGAGGATAGTGGATCCTGGTTCAAGGCAAATAAAATGAGGTTGATTTTCACAGTGAGACATCCAACAGCCAAATCACACTTAAGGAAACTCTCAAGCTAAAAATAGCTGGATGTTGGGAGAGTACCTCAGGCGATGTGATGTTTTAATTCGTCCCTGGGTACCTGCCTGTAACTTCTTTTTGTTGCTGTTACACATTCTCTCTGAGTTACAGACTAGTCCTTCTCAGCCCCAGCTTTCCTGTCAGATGCCAATGAGCTTAGCACCCCCAGCCTTTATTTGACTCGTTTTTTTTCTGAACTTCACAGTACATTTCAACAGTCCTCTAGCACAGCACTCACATGGTGTAAAGCAACAAACTTCCCTGGCCACATCTTCCCTGCATCTGGTGTGTTGATCAGGTGCCTTGTGCAGCATCCCTACTGTTGACATGTCCCTTGACGCCTTGCTGTCTTGTCGACCTCTGAAGGCACGGTGAGCAGATTATCCTGGCTGAGCTGGGCAGACCTTTGGTCTGAGCCAGCAGAATCATTCCTACGGGTCATGGTGGAGGCTTGCTCCCAGCTGCTTAGGGTAGGCAGAGACTTTGCAGCTCCTGTGCTTCAACCTGCCTTGTAGTTGCACGGTGCAAACCAGCGTTGGTGGTGAAAGACACAGTCTGACCTTCTCCCTTGTGCTGAGCCAAGTGCTCATCCGGCAAACCAGCAAAATGCTGTTCCAAGTCAAAAGTAAACCTTCCTCCCTCCTCCTGGTTAAAGTTTAACCCGGGACTGATCCAATCCACCCCAAGGTCACACATGCTTGTGACAGTACAAGGGAACAGTGTGCTCAAGCAACCAGGGTCAGGGGAAGACTAGTCTACCTCTTAGCTGCAGCGCCTGCTTGAACTGTTTGTGAAACCATGACGCTGTGCACATAAATTACACTGACTTCCAGCTCCTTGATGCTTTCAAGGATGTTGCACTGATTATTTCTGTAGCATCGAAACCTTAAGTCAGTCATAGGCGGGGAGAATTTTTCACATCTCTTGGTGTTTGAATTGAAAAGTTGACGCTGTTCGGGAGCGTGTTTATTGTTAGCTAAAGACTACTACCTTTATACCAATCAATCCTGCCTCAGAGTACAGTCCCCCAAAACGGTTAAGCAGTCAGCTCCACCCTCCTGGGGTACATGTTCTTGCCCCATCACTACCTGGCTGCACAGGCACACAATTGTCAATTCAAAGAATTGATTCAAATCAAATTTCCCACAATTTGTCCTTGTTTCAAAAATAAATAAAAGAACAAAACAAAACAATTCTTAGAAAGGTTACTCCTCTTTTTTATTATTTATCATTACTACTTTAGTTACTATCGCACTTGGGTTGCAGCAAAGAAAGATACACTTACAGCATTGCGTATCTAGGAGATACAGATTGTAAAAGCAATTGGATGCTTGATTAAATTCTGAGCACCAGTTCTCTTCTTCCCCTCTAACCACACAACAGTTAGATGCAGAAGATGCCCCTCCCTACCCCCACTAAAGACATAAACCCTGATGGTGTCACTAAAACAGCGAAGGAAAAGCAAAAATGACATTAGTAGTCTCTAGTATAAAAATAAACTAGACTTAAAAGACCTTTTCAGCTCCTAGTGTGCAGTTTGAAGAAATAAGCTTCACTTAGATGACTGTGGGCTCCTTGAATAGTGTGCTTCAAAGTTTGTCACGTGTAGTACAACCTCCTTTGAAAATAAATCATTCTATTTATTAAAAATTTTTCTCAAAGAGCCTTCAACAGCAACGCAGTAATGTCTAACTCTTATGCGTGCCATTGGCAGACCTCTGCTATTGCTGCAGGTAAGAAATTAAAGATTCTTCTTTGCAACCTGCTTTGTCAATCCAGAGATGAAAAAGTTTAGAAGGGAGAAGTGGTCCAGAGGATCAGTGTTGTGCTTTGCATGAGCTGCAGTGGAGTGGTCTGACCGATTGTTTGATAGTCCCCAACTCTGATCCCAGCAATGACAGGAAAGGAAGACAAAGCTAGAGTATAGATACCAGCATTGTTTAGTGTACTTCTGATTAAATAGCGACAAGAAATAAATCTTGTCCCTCAAAAGACTGGCTGTATCAAGCATGTTATTTTTCAGTAATTTAACAGTCATCCATGAATCATGAGCAATATTTTTGTGGTGTTATGCAGACACACACAGACAATTCATCACCTTTACCATACACAACCTATAACCCTTGGACTCCTGGCAGAACACAGGTAGTGCTGTAATCACATGAACTGGATGCCCTTCTTTTGTATTATTCACTACCGTGTATAGAGCAGGAAGGACACTAGGCTGTTCAGCAAGATAAGAGGACGTTCTCATATTCTGTTTATCACACAGGCTAAAGGAAGAGTTGAGATGGCAGCTTGTTAAGACGGTGTAAATCCCTTCCTCCCAAACCCTTCCAGTCAACTATGGCCTTTTACGCAGTTATTTTCCAGTAAGGATGCTGCATTACATCTTCAGTTCAGTCACAAATAAGCAATTATTTCCCTGCATTTTTGTCGGAAAACAAGACCAAACTGTTTATCCTGAGAAGTATTTGTGTTCCACATCATTTAAAGAGCTGTAAACTCTGCTCTTCAACAAGACATTCATTAATATAAGCTAATTTAGCTTGGATCTCTGAAATACCACCATAAAACATCCTACTTTCATGCTAAGCACATGCTAACAGTTAGTAGACAAGACTGCAGCAGATAAAAGGAGAGCTAAAGCTTAATTAATCCTTGTGATGAGATCAAACACGTTAAACAAACCTCTTAGTCTCTATTATGTATGGGGAAAAAAACCTTGTTACTGAAGTAGAGGGAAAATATGGAAATCAAAGAACAAGACACAGGAAGGAACAGACTAGTACACACCAAAAAAAAAATTTATTACATAAATACTTACGACCTTTAAGCTGTACAACACTGCTCAAATTCTTGCTACAGTTTGGTCTACCCCTTTCCTCACTCTCCATATACGAAACAGTGAATATTTCCTATCTACATATTGGCTGTCTCAGAGTTCTATTTGGAGTGAGGGCTTTTCTGCTCGCTTGTGTTTGTGGAGACCCAGCTAGGCCTAAGTCTCAAATAGGTCACTTGGATGTGAATTCAATGTACAGGTTGGTGAAAAGTATCAGGACTGCAAGATTTGGAAAAAATGCATTTAAATCCTACCACCAAACATATACCCATCAGCTTTTCAGATTAAAAGCAAATGTGATTCCATATTCCTGAGTAGTCACAAATATTCTGGGTGAAGGAAGAGAACTTAAGATATTTCAGATATCCAGTGGGGCTGAAGTCTGCTATCTTATTAATGTGTTTGTTTATATCTCATTCTTCCCCCACAGTTCTGAACCATTTGGTGGTAGTTATCAGCTAATAAGATAAGGAAACAGTCTTGCTCTAATGAAATGTATCACTAGGTAAATTTTACTTAGTCCATTTAGACATTACAGCTACAGTTGTGATACTTCTAATTCACTGTTAGGAATATCTTTATTACCTGAAGCCAGGTAAGGTGAACTACTCAGCATTTTGAAGAGCATGTAAAAGCATAAAAGAAAGCACCCAACTCAAAAGTGTTATTAAAAAAAAAATAATCTTATTTAGGTATCCTAAAAAATATAATGTACATTATATAAAAAAATCAAACAGCTATTCATTAAAACTTTGTTAAATATCCCCATTTAAGATCATGTACTGGCAAGCACTAAGTAACAGTGTATTATCTCAACTAACATTTTATGTCAGTGCTAGCTGATAACAAGTTCAGCTTGTCAACTCAATAGGATAACCTTTCAGGCTTCTGCCCTGTTAGTATTTACAGCATGATCACTTGGAAAACAGTATAAAATTACATTATACTAAAGATAATAAGCAGTTTACACCAAGATGGTGAAATGGATCCTCCTTTCCTTCTCTCGACAGTTTCGAATAATGTTCGGTGTAAGCAGGTACGCAGAGCAAGATCCTACATACACTATCTATACAATTGTTCAATACATTACACTTAAAGCCAAACAAAACAGATTTATCTGTTAACTAAATATACTAGCAACTCTGCATAACATTCCAGTGATGTTTTACTCTTTAAAGACTTCGATATTGAACAAAAATTTCTTCAACCACAACTCACTTCCACGTCACTGGCATTTTTGCAGAGCATCTGAAACATAATGATTTTTTGTCCAGTCTAGTGGGAAGATTTATCTGCTTAAAACTTCTACACAGGGTAAGCAGCTGCCAGTTCTGAAATCCAGGCTTCCATGTAATTAAAAAGCAGACATGTTTCTTCAGACTCTCTCACACAAAATAACTCTCTTGTTGCTTACATCCTTTCAGCAGTAGCAATGAAAGTTCACTTTTCTAGGATCAAACTCAGTAGGTTGATTTAGTGGTCCCATTTGAGTTTGAGGAGTAAGAATTTGATTTCCTGGGGTATCTGCTTGATGAGAGAGACACTTGCATCCTCCGGGTAGTTCGCACACTTCGGCAAAGAAGAGCATTTTTAAGGTTGTCTCTGAAGTCTTTTGAAACATAGTAATAGATGAATGGATCAATGCAACTGTTCAAGGTAGAAAGACACAGTGCAGTTATGTACGAAACATACAGAGAGCTCTGGTTGTAGGTTTTGAGGAGCAAATAGTGCACAACAAGTATCACGTTGCTAGGTGTAAAACAGATGAGATACATGGACAGCACAACGATAATGAGTTTGATTGCTCTTTTTCGTTTTTTCCCAGTGCTTACATCTGAGATGGAAGCATTCAGAGTCTTAATCATTAGTATGTAAGCAACAGCAGTGAGGAGAGCTGGGATTAAGAAGAGTCCAATTGCAAGTGAGACGAAATAACTGAACATATCATGAGCCAAAACATTTTCAGGCAACACATCATGGCAGGTGGTGATGTTAAGATTTGAAATATGTGCCGTCTGATTAACAAGATACAACGGAATGGTACCCAACAAAATCAGTGTCCAGATAGCAAGGGAGATGCCCAAGGCAATTTCAGATTTCTTTCTTGAATGCACTATGGGGTTCACTACAACCCAATACCGTTGCACACTAAGACATGTCATAAAGAGAATGGAACCATACATATTTCCATAGAAAAACCCAACAAGTACTTTGCAGAGACCTTCACCGAATAACCAATTATTGCCATTTACATGGTATGCAATCTTCAGTGGGAACCAGACAACAAAAAGAAGGTCTGCCAATGCCAAGTTAACCATATAAATCACAGCTGGATGTTTCTTCTTTGTTCGGAAAAAAAAGACCCAGAGGGCCATGGCATTGCTTGGCAAACCAACGATAAAGACAATGATATAGACAATGGGAAGAAAAACTGTGGTCAGCTTTCCTGTGAGGGCTTTTGCTGCAAATTCATCCACTTCGTATAGCTCTTCAGAGGCATTATTTGCATTTGGAACTTTCCGGCCAGCGAAACTTCTTCCTTTTGAACTGCTGGTTCCGCTATTCTCTAAAATTAAAAAAATTAAGAAGTTGCTGTTACTGAAGTACACACTTTCTGTCCTTTTTAAAAATAAACTACACGTCATTATTTACCCTGAAGAATTAAAGAGGGCCTCATCAACAGAAAAATTAATACTGGTTTTCAAACACTTGACAATTTTTCTTCCATTTCTTTGAAGTTTATTAATCAAAAGATAACCCATATCCCTATTCTAGGATAGCATCAACAATCAAAATGCTTTTCTACGTCACCAGTGATATTAAAAATAACTTGTTAAAATGGCTGTCAGGTGCTCCTATGATCTGAACAGTTATAATAGAAACCGCTTCGAGTACCCCAGGGCACCATTAACCTTTCACATGGCAGCGCCAGATTACCCAAGTGCTGGGACTCATAAAACTTTGCAGCAGGCTAAGTCACTGCAGGATAAGTTTCCTTAGTTTAGATGGCCTCAAAATCAGGTATGCAGCAAAAAAAGAGTATGCTGCCCTCAGACGAGCTAGAACTGAAACTCAGAACATAAAGTGAAGAGCTATGCAAAAGTGATCTCTGGGGAAAGAAAGACGCGTGGTACACTATATCTGAATGGAAACTTAAGCAGACAAACTTTGTGCATGAAGATGCAACAGGGCTGGTCATCTGGGATCTCCTTCAAATTCATGGGCAAGATGGTCAGACAATCTCTGCAGTTTCTACTCAAAGTGCAAGGTGGTAGAGCTGACAGTTATGATTGCTCCATACACAAGAAAGTGATAACTTCAAGTTTTGCTCTGCCTCTTCAAATGCCACAGGAACTTACAAGCTGTAAGGGCAAGCCAGCCATTCCTCACTGCTCCGTCTTGTACAACAACCTTCAGACGGCTCAGTTCAGAACACTTCCAGACCCAACGCAGTCCTCTCACACTAACAGGTTAAACTGCACAAGCACATACTGTCCATGAACTCGCACTGTTCCAAAAAAGACCAACATCCACCAAGCTAAACTGTATGGGCACAAAACTAGACTGTCTGTGGGAGAATTACGTTTGACCTTATCTCAGTTTCTATCAGTACTTGTGCATTATTTTAGGTACAAAACCCTCAACTGGAGTATAAAGGAGAGTCTTCTTGAGCCAGTAGGTTTGTGTACAACAAGCCATGAACAGTACTAAAGGATGGCCTCTTTGTTATTTAATAAATAGAGTTTTGATACAATTCCAGAATGAAAAATGCTTTCATTTTACATTTTAAAGCATAAGAAAAGAATTTGTACACAAGAAATACGTAAATACACAAGTACATGTTTTCCAGTAAAGATTCTCAGAAGTAGCACAACTTCAGATAGCTGTTCCTTTCAAGTTATTACTGCACAGGTCTCATGTACACCATTAGTGTCCTGTCTAGACTGTGTGACCTCCTAAAGAGGTGTACAGGAACACAGCATATATCGGTGCTCTTTAGAATTTTGAATTAAGTTACCCTAGCTCCACTTAAAAAGTATTTGACAAGCTCCAGGCACTGGCAGGGTTCACTGGGAAAATGAGGTGCAAGAAAACTTTTTGCCAGCACAATGACATGGACAAATCTTTGCAGTAAACTGCATGAGGTCTGGAGTCTAAATTATACCAACAAAACAACAGTCCTAAAGAAAATAAATTCAAACGCGAAACAGTCATTTTGGCCCATATACAGTGCAAATACAACACAGCAGGATTACACAAATCCTGCTCTCAGAATTTCAAGCCACATGATTATGTCACCAATACTGTTAAAGACTGCAAAGTTTACCTGTACAATACAGAAGTCCAAGGTCCTTAACCTGAGCTGAATAATAGCAGCTATAAAACCAGCTGAAGAACATAGCTTACATAGGTATCAGATAATGTAAAAGATAATTAGCTAAGCAATGCCTCTTTTCTCAGGCTTATAGCTTAGCTGAGAAAGATCCTGGAGATGCTTGGAAGCAGACTTTTTATTCTAAGCTGACAGCAGTTCTCAGAGTACTGCAATAAAGCGCTGCATGCAGTACTATGTTAAGCACCTGTCCATCAGTAAGTAGTTGATATTATCAAATTGCAGTCCTATTTGCATTCCATTCCAAAGACTTAAATGATCCAGTAGAAAACTGAAAGAGCAAAATACTACCACTTCATTCTTATTAATGATTTTTCATCAGATAAAAAGCAATGCTTTGCAATTGATGTTCATAGGTTGGGTTGAAAAGAATAATAAAAAATGCTCACCAAAAAGCCCTGAAGTGTTAGTGTGACATACTAGAGTAAGAGTTACAACAAAGTGGATTGACAGCTACGTGAACCATAGACAGGACATAGTATTGCAAGAGTGGCAGAAAACAGATACAGGTTTGTTTTATTCTATTTTTGAAGACATAGTCAAGCTAAATGGGCGATGTCATAGACCAAGTCTTGATTTTAGGCTGACTTTAAATAGTTTCAGCCTCAAAAGTTCTGACTGCAGATACTTGGCAGCTTTTTGCCAGCCCAACTGGCACCCATACAGGGACAGTTCAGTGTCCTGTTTGTCTTTGCAGTTAACACTCCCTCACCAAGCAACCAATCCTTCGTTAGGTATGTGCATTTTCGACGTCCTTTTCTTACTCTTTCGGCGCTTGCAGTTTTCCATAACAATTGAGCTCTTTTCCAAGGCGAGTTTCACCCTGGCTGACTCACATACAGAGAATGCAATTGACTTGCTAATCTGCCCACGGGAAAAACTTCCTTAGTACCACGGGAGAAAAAAGTACTCTCCTCCCACAACAGAAGACTGTTTCAACACCTTTGCCATTTGTCCAGAAGATATAACCCGCTGCATACCAAAGGAAGGATTACGTCTACCCCGCAGATACAAAAGCAGCACAGAGTATGCAGATTAACTAGTTAAGGTCATGGTAGTAATACTCACACAGGACTAAGGTTAAGATTACCCTGGTTCTTGGATCTGCGGCTCAGATTCACCACAACCTCGTAAGGGCATTCGCCTGTTTGCAAACAGCTACAAGCCCCTGGTTTACAGCGGATCTCCCTTAATAGGGATGGGATCGCACTTTCAGCTCATTTCACTTCCCTACTCCAGGAGATCAAGCGCCCAGCTAAAACTTTCAAGCATACTACTTTACCCCCCCTCCCCCCTCCACCCCCCCCTCGCGCAGGTGATTCCAAATTTCTTCCCCCAAAAAAAAAACTATTTGTAAAGAGGCGGTTTCATTTCAGAAACTGGGCTCTGAACAACACGACAAAATTTGCAGCTATCTAGTACCTATTTTTTCCGAAAATACGACCTACCAAAAGCTTGGCTTCAATATTTACACAATCTTTAAGCAGACACTTTTATTACGTAAATA